ATACCACTTGTAGTGCACCGAGGGGGTTACACACATATATACACATGTCTCCACATTGATGAGATATTGTTCGCTTTGGGCCCAAGCCCTCACGGTTTTGCTTTTGGACATCACCCAAAAGGCCTCTCAACCAATGGACCCACCGTTAGGAAGACTTTTGACACAAGGAATCCCAAACTTGGATCCACCTGCCAGCTATCATACTCGTCGAGCCGGTCACCTGATCAGACCATCAGCTATAATACTACTTGTTGTGCAACAAGGGGGTTACCACACATATATACACATGTCTCCACATTGGTGAGATATTGGGTTACCACACATGTCTCCACATTGGTGAGATATTGTCTGCTTTGGGCCTAAGCCCTCACGGTTTTGCTTTTGGACATCACCCAAAAGGCTTCTCAACCAATGGAGACAAGTGTATGTATATAAACTCATATGCATCCTCTTATTTGAACGATATGAGACTTTGCTTGCATCCCAACAATTACTATACAATTGTTGTCATTGTCAATGGCAATGACAATGGTAATGCATAGATAATGATAAAAATAATTATGATAAGAACAATACATAATAACTTTATTTATAATCTATTAATTTAAATCATTTATTTTAGTTTAAAGGTTATTTTTATTCTCAAATAAAAATGACATTCTCGTATAATACTTTGATATTTTTTTAATCTTCGATTTATACTAAGAAATACTTATTATATCTTTAAAAAAAATTTGTGTATAACACGCTGATGGGATATTTTAGGAAGTGTTAGCACACATCTTAGGTTAAATATTGGTCGTACTCTTTGGCTACACAAACTACATAATATTCAAGTCAAAACCTTGTTGATATAGATAGATAGTATATGAAATTTTTATGATGAAAACCAATTATAAATACCTGGCATATGATTTCCATCCGGTCCTACTTCTCTTTTACTCTTTGACTTATCATTTATCCCGTTGATAATTAAGCAACTAGCCAACTACGTGTTATTTAACATTGGTACAAAACTTCTTTTATACTAAGTCAAGCAAACTATACATATTTATATAATACTTTGTAAATAGTTACAATATCATATGTGGACAAAGGACTCAAAATTCAATTGAAACTTAGTAGCAACTAGCTATACTAGGAAGAGGCAGTGAAATAGTTCAAGGTATTGGGTAAGATTTAGTATTACACATGCATCTATAAGATATAGGGCATGACTCAGCTTCTTTAGTGTGTGAGGCACAAGATAAGCTAAACGTTACTAATCTACAAGGTGAGCATGAACCACAAGCATGCATGCAATCTGGTATTCTTGAACCTGCAACTTGAAGTGTCTTGCCCCTCCTACTTCCTACCTTTTCCTCCATTAACTTCTCCATTTTGTTTTCTCTTTCACTCCATAACCCACTTTTGCTTGAATGTTTAAGATGATCATTAGCTGTAACAAGACCAAACATCAAAATGTACGATCACTATATGAATAAGATGTGTTAAAGTCAACTAATTAAAAAAAACAACGAAAATAAAAGAAACACTACAAAAAAAAATATTATGCAATGACACACGCTTTACACTGATACAATATTTTTTATTAAAATTATTTTTACATATATTATAGATATAATATATGTTGTTATATTATTAAAAGTATAGATATAATTTATAATAACAAATAATATATGTTGTTAAATTAAGATTATATGTAGTTATATGTCAAATAAATTTATACTTATATATATTATATTTATAGTAACATTTTTTATACATCATTGTATGTAACATTTTTTGTAAAGGTTAACACACTATTTCGCATACGCTTGTTCTTATAAAAAAAAATGAATCCTATGAGTATGTGCACCAAAATATTTTTTTTATTTTTTTATATATCAAAGATAATATATTGAAAGTTTGAGTACAAGACATACTCAACGTAAGAAAGTTACACAAATAGAACAAATACAAACTACCAACAAATTAAAGACAAACCTCTAAAGAAAAAGAAAAACTTACGACCAACAACCTAAAAGTTACTATTGGCATATAGTCTTAATGCAATTAACAAGACAACAACACTAATCCAAAAAACCAGGGTCTTTAGACCCAACCGATGCAACAATCTAAGATCAAGATCTAAATTTAACTAAGTGCAGAAATTCATCAAATCAAAAGGAACACTAAAATATATATTTAATGTTTAGGGTTTTTGAAAAACATACTTGCACTTGGCGAAGCCATGTGTGTAGCAAAGATGGTAGCGGAAAAAAGAAAAGGCACGAGAAACGTTATGCAAAGAGAAAGTAGTTTCATGGGTATTATTAATTGGGTAAAGGTCAAGCAAAATGCAAACGATGATCTTTGATGCCAAGAGGGAAATAGCTATATATAGAAAGGTGAGAGAAGTAGGGAAGAGAGAGAGTATTGAAGTGTGTCACAGATATTATAGGGTACGTTAGTGATGAGGGTAAAGGTCACATGATCCAGCTTCATTGCTTCAAATTCCTCACAAGGATTCTTATTTTGCACTTCAATGTTGAGTTGCATAGACCAACGAATATAGTGCTCTCAATGAACGTGACACATGAGAATAGAAAAACCCAGAACATTGATCATCAAACAACAACCCTTTTGCCTTTTTTTTTCTTCCCTTTTTATTTAATTACATATTTGGTCTTTTTTACTTTAGACTCCGTGTAATTTTAGTTTTCTAAAAAATATTATCAATAAAATCTTCGAATTTACATTTTTATTATTTTTTATGAATCGATTTAATTCAATTATTTTAAATTTTTTCTAAAACCACACGAACCAAAACATTATATTTCATAAAATAAATTTAAAACATCAGATTGTAACATTTTTTTATTAAATTATTGACTTTAAAACTTTTAAAATTATGTTATACGTCAAACCCATCATAAACTAACAAATATTTAGATTAAAACAATAATAATTTGATTTTTAAACAAAAAAAAAAAAGAATGACATGACATGACCAAATTTCTTTAATTTTAAAATAAAATTTAATTTACCCAAAACAAATTGAGGAAGTAAAATCGCATATAATTTAAATTAAAGAAATAAAATACTATTATTTTTTTATTATTTATTATTATTATTTGGGGGAGGTTTGTAGAATTAATTTACTCGGAGAGATTTGCGTGATGTTGGCTCATGGGCTATTGGGGCAAGTGGTGCTTGTGAGAGTTATTGGGCTTCAATTTCGAATCTTGGACTTGATGTAAAAGCATCTATGTACATTATGATATTTGACAATAAATAAAATAAACCACGAATTAACAACAAGCTTTCATAGCTCAGTTGGTTAGAGCACCCGTTTAGTAAGCGGGAGGTCTTGAGTTCGACTCTCAATGAAAGCAATTTGTTATTTTCTTTTCCTCTGCATCAGTCCATCAATTGTGGACATCCTCGTTAGCTCCTAAAAACAACACAATTTTTTTTTGCTTTTTTTATGACCCAATTTGTTTTCATTACATTAGATTAATATTGAAACGATGTGATGACACTCTCGAGCTAGCCTTGATTCCTCAAATAATTTCCACCACAAAGTCATAACCAACCTCAAACAAGGAGCAACTACAATCTGATTCTTAAGATTTAGATGCAGCAGAATATTTCTGCAGACATCCTTTAATAGTGCCCGTAAAAAATAAGAAACATGTTTTCTTTATTTTTGGACTAGAGCGCTCACAGCCAATGCAAAATATGGTCGTGTTTACTTGTCACCAAGTGTTTTCTGCCATGTTTACTTGATTTTCATTTGGTTTAGAGTTTTCATCTTCATGCATGTCATCAAAATATGAAATTTTAATTCCGTTGCTTTAGGCATGCCATTTGATGAGGATGTCCTTGTAGAAGAACATTCTTGGCAGTCCATTTAAATTAACGTTGTTATTAGAGCTTCCATTCCTTCTAGAGTAAATGAGAATTCAATGGAGAGGTGTACCAAATCAAGGTTGAAACAGATTAACATTATATATAAAGTATTGATTTTGACACAAATACTAGACATAATACAGACACAAATACTGAGACATACTTAATATCCAAAATATAGGATATGAACCTTGATGACATATATGTATTATATATATAATCTTTACAATTTTTATATAATATGACCCTTAGAAGGTAAATTATATCTCTTAAAAGTTAAAACAACTAGTAATTTTTATGAAATTGAGCCCCGCAAAAGGTAAAGCAAAATGTTATGAGTCTGGCAATATTTGTAAATAAGTTGACATTTTAATTTTTTTTATAATTGAATTGTTAAATAAATGTTTAACTAATAGTATGTGTCAGTTAAGTTGACGATTTGACTAATGTCTAAGTTGTGTCATAAAAATGTTTAAGATGTATCAAAGAAGTATATGAACCAAAATAAAAATTACTTGTGACACGAGAGAAAAATTATGGATCATGTCTAATATATGTTTGACAAATATATTATATTCAAAACATCTTAGACTCGCTGACACGACATTTTGTAGATGTATCAGTATTTCATATATTACACTCTTGTCATTTGTCAACTCAAAAACAACTTACTAGGATGAAGTTAAGAGACATTGGAAATAAACTATCATAAAGTAATGTTTAAAATACATGAAAGTTTCTACAGTAAATTCAAGCTACAACATGGATTACCATCTTATTGAAATAGTTCTGGTTCAGATACTAATTATTAATTAGCACCCTGAAAGCATCACTCCTATGGTTTGTAACAAAAGGGTCCATATCATAGTCTCACATAAAGTTATTGGTTGAAAGATTTGTTTCAAGTCCTAAACTTACAAAGGAGAAGTATATTCTTGAATTATTCCATGTAATAACATGAGTTTCTCATCATCTGATACACTATAGATGCTCAGGTTTTTCCTTAACTCCAAGTTCACATAGTTGCCAGCAAATAGTTCCACATTTGTGATGTCAAAGTCCCTACCATATCTCTCTCTGAACAAGTTTCTTATAAGATGCAAAAGTGACAATTCACCACATCTTGAAGAAGCATATGTCAGACTTGCAACGGCCACAGCAACTTTTGTAGGCAAGTTGTGTATACAACTGCAATAAAACTTACAGCAAAGTTATGCATGATTACATGCATATCACTTGCGCACAGAATCTTGCATGTAAATTGAGGTAGCCAAGCCTAATGTTAAGTACCTGAATTTGCTAATGCAGGATATGTTGGAGATGATGCATTCACAGAAATTATCAATTAGATCATATGCAGCCAAAACACATGTGTCTATATGCAGCTGCTCAACCTAAATTTTAAAGGGAAATATAAATAATCCAAACCTATATAACTTGTTAGGGGAAAACCAATTGTAAGACAATAGCTATGTATGATGATAGCAGCAGTCAATTAACATATGGCTTGATTAATTAACGGTCTGTTCAGACAAATTTCTCTATTAATACTTTTGGAAAAAGAAAACAAGAAAAATTGAAATAAATTAATTTCTTTAAAAACTAGCTTATATATAAATTAATCTATAGAATCTTTCTCGTATTAGCTTCTTCAAAATATGTTTTTTAAATTATATATAAGATGATTTTACCTTATAGAGAAACTTATTTCAATTTTTTACTCGTACTTCATTCTTCTAAAATTTTATAGAAATCAACCCTCTCTATATTATGATTAAATACATAACTTAACCTAGCAAAAGCACTGTCAATGTTGTCATTTTGGAGCAGCTGAGCAATATCTGACCGTGATTGCTTAATCACAACTTGCCTCCTAATCTTCTGGATAACTAGTTGAGCTTGAAATTGCATTATCAGGTTCTCGCTGCATAGTTAAGGAGTTGACATATAATTGATATACAACAAAGTTTCTCAGCAAAGAAAATATCTACAGAGAAACATCAAGGCATTATTTGGTAGTGAAGACTAAAATAGTTATGTACAAAGTATAGTTCTAAGGTGTGCTTATATTAATCTAGGAAAATATAACAAGAAGCTGCAATTCCAATAAGGCACTATTTGACACTGCCTTTTCTCACTCAACATAAATACAATGATCACATTACATGAAACATTATTAAAAATTAGTACTATTATGGATTTTCACACACAACATGAAAATAAGTTTGATTTCTCATTTCACGTAACATGGGTACATATATGCATCATGTCACACAATATCTTACAATTTTAGTTTCTAATTCAATAAACATGACTATATATGAGGACTATGCAGAAAACTTCTTAAGGTACCATTTGAAAGCTTTCTTCCACCCACTTGGTCCAACACATACAAGAACAAAACGAATTGCACTAAACCACTGTGGTCTAGATGATTTTTTCTTTTCAATTTGCATGGTAAGAAAAAAATAATAATAACCGAAGAAACAAAGAAGGTGAACCAGAAACCAAGTAATATGGCTATTGATTCAAGGAATAAGACTCTGATTCTATCTATTACACGTACGTGTGCTAATCTTATTTAAATAACTACATTACTTTTGCTAACTCGTGTTTTAAGAAACAAATTAGTCGATGTTAAGGCTTTCCATTTGGACAGAGATTATTTGACCAAGATCGAAATATATAAAGTCGGTGTTAAAACAGTGTTAAAAAATGGATAGAAAATATACTCAATAATAACATGGGAAATCCTTTTTTGTTGCCTCAGTAGGGTAGCTTTTCAATTGTTTGAATGAAGGGTCAATAAAATGAAATAAAAAATCATTGGGGTAAATATAATTGTGATCAACAAGCCAAAATCACCGTCCTTAGAGACCTGTTTGTGACAACTTGCTTCATGCTTTTTATACACTGAAAAGTGAGATTTCTCATTTAATTATAAGTGATGTTTTATTGTGATAAAGATATTATGATTTTCATAAATCATTTAGACGTGAAAAGTTTTTCCTTCTATCAAACGTTTAAGTGTTTTTAAAAAGGTTTATTCTAACAAATCAAATAAAGCAACAAATCGGTTATTATTATTATTATAAGGGTTAACCATACACAGTAAAGATTTCAATGAACATGTAAAAGTACAATATTACTGAGACGATGCATTACAAAAAGGGGGAAAAATCAACGATCTTTTATCGTTTCAAAAGACTCACTCAGAAAATTTTCTATCATCAAGTATTGGGTCTTGAATCCGTCTTTAAATATTATGAAGTTAAGAATGAGATTAACTTTCTGTTTTAGTAAGGTATGTAACTTTTAATTCATCAAGTATCTCATATATTACTTTGAATACACTTTCCTATCTAATAAAATGCATAAATTACATTATCATTTTCTCTTAATTCAAAAATAATTTGTTTTTTTATTGTTAAGCATGTAGACAACTAACATAAAATTATTTAATATTAATCAATGATATTGAATTTAAGTCTAATGAGTTCTCTGCATCTAGCATGACTCCATCATGCTTAGCGTCAAAAAAACATATAATAGGATTTGCTGTTTGACACTTCCATACACAATCAATATTGACATTTCATAAGTCCTATACAAAACAATAAATGAATCTTTATATTTAAATATTTTATAATTAAATATTTATCATGTAAAATAGATACATAATATAATTAAAAATGATATATTTTATTATATTAAACTAATAATATAGTGTTAATAAAACTTTGAAAAAAATTCTATTTTTTCATAAAATGCTACATAAGTAAATTGTAAAGACCAAAAGTAATACATCTTAAATTAGAAGAAAATAGGACAAAAATTTTGTGAAACTAAATCCAAATTTGGAAAATTTTAGGTAGACGAAAGACATGTTTTACCCTTTAATAAACATAAAACTCGCCCTCGCCCTGCCCCGTTGTCATGCTTACACCTAACACGGTTAAAAAAAAAGATAACACATATGTGTATATTTACAAAAATTATTGAACGGAGAAGACAATATTACATGTCTTAAAAAATTAAGAAATCAAATTAAATCTTTTAACAACGGAAACCAAATTGAACTAAACAAACACGAGCGATAAAAAGTGATTTATGACACCACTGCAACTCACGTGCATACTTTGACTTATTTTGAAATTATTTTTGATAAATATTTTATTAGTTTAATTTAATTACTTTGTCATTGTCCCAAACCCCTCTTTAGGGAATGAGACCAAGACAAATATACTTGAACTTGGTACTTCCAACCCAATAGTTTCCACATACCTCGTAGCTTAACTGTTGGATAATTCCATAATTCAATTATTGTGCCACTTTTAAATATTGCGCTTCTCTTACTACCAAAAGACACTCGTTTTCCTCTAAGCTTCATTTAAATAAACTTAATAAGCATTTTTAAGAAAAGAAAATACGATAGGATAAATTATTTTTTATAAATTAAAATTAACTTGTACTAGTTAGAGAAGTTAAATAAAGTCCATATAAATTAGCAAAATTAACTTATGCACTAATTAAGATTTTATAGGAGTTAAATAGAGAAAGCTCGTATCAATTAGCATTATAAAAAAACTAATTTTAACTTATAAGAGAAATTTATTTCATTTTTTTTTTTTTATTTCTCTATAGTACTCGTCAAAAAATATCCATCCAGAGTCTGCATACACTACGAAATCTTTTTTCATCGCCACACTCTAAACTTTTAGCATTTAAAATAAATTATTTTCCTCAATCCATAGGTTCAAATAATGAATGATAAATATTGCCTATTAATAAAACCATAAAATAAAAATAAAAAAATTATCCTAGTTTGACAAATTATGCCAGTGGCATTAATAGGTCATGAAAGATTGAGGTATCTCTAATTTTTTACATTTCACTCATCTCGCAATCGATGACTTGAGAGTCAGAATCCTTGCATATACACCCCTGGAGTTCAACTTGTGAAGACTTGTGATTTCAATCAAGTATTCCACTTTCGCAAGTTGGTGTTGAACAATTAATATAATATCTTTCATCATTTTTCAACCGTATATCAATATTTTATTTAAAAATTAAAACTTCACAAGTTATTAAAATAATCAAACAATATAACAATTTCTTTTACACTAATAAGCATCAAAATTAAACTCAAATTGTTGAGATGCTCTTAGTAAAATTACCTCAAGAAATAAAATAGTATCAAGAGTCCTCAACTTCAACAAATGTAAGTTTTTTATTCTATAGTGATGCTCAAGAGATTCTCACCAGGTTACCTAGGGAGGGGGAGGAGAACGAAATGCTACATAATGCAACTTAAACCCTATCCGAAACTAGCAAACAAATGTTCCAAACAAGCGCGAGTTAAGTTCACAGGGCAAATTTACCAACTTACAAGGGTGAATTTTGCTGAAGTAGGGGGTCAAGATTGAATTCTACATCTTAAAAAGGGTTATCCAATGTGTCTTGTATATTAATAACAAGAAACATGGAGAAAAATATGAACCTGTGAAAGGATGGAATACACATAAGTTGGACATGGATTACAAAAATTGTTGGTCGACTGTTGCTTTAATCAGTTCTGATGAGCAAGATGGAGCGAAATTGGAGTTATTGCCCATTACCCAATAGAATTCTCATGTAGTAATACATATTCTCGGCTGCAATAGAAGGGAAAACAGTTAATAATAAGCGTTTATATAGAACAAAGTATTAGGGAACAAAATCCATAACTGCATCGAGGTAAATAAAGCACAAGCACTATATATGCATACTTTTGAGTGGTCGTCAGAAATGCCTTGCATTTGTACCAACATAAAAGAACAAACAAGAAAATTCATTGCATTAACATGCCCCAGACAAACTAGTCCAGCCAAGAAAATTCAGTCATGTTAAATCATCCAAAGATGTCCCAGTATCATGAAAATCATTTTCACCTTCATGTAAATTGGCTTCAGACTTTTTCATCAGAAAATAAATGCACGAACTTGGCACTTTCTAGCCAATAGTTTCCCCATATCTCCACCTAGTTCAACTGGATGATAATTCATATATTAAAATATTGTGCAACTTTTAAAATTTAAATATTGTCCTTCCCGTTCCATCCAAAAATCCAGTTTCCTCTAAGTCTCGTTTGGATAAACTTCTCCACTATTAGAAAAAGAAAAAAAAGATAAAATGAATTAAGTTATCTTCATAAGTTAAAATTAACTTATAATAAGTTAAAATTGGCTTATAGAGAAGTTAAATTAAGAGAGTTTCTATTATACATAAACTAATTATAACTAGAGAAATTTAATTCAGTTTGTCTCCTTATTTTCTTCTTTTAAATACTCTTATTGAGAAGTTTATCCATACATAGCCTTATCACATTACAAAAACTTATCTATTACTGAACTCTAAACTTTTAGCATTTAAAACAAATTATTTTACTCGATCAAAACCTAATTATCAAAATAACTTGGGTTTAAATAATGAATGATAAATATTACTTCTCCCATCTCATAATAAGAGTTATGTAAGAAAAATAAACAAGTCTCGTTTTAACTTTTCAATGTATTATTAATTACTTATTTCCTATTTATACCCCTAATAATATTTTTCGCAAACTTGTGTTACATCGTTTCCGGCAAAGAAAATTAATTTTGTAAAATTATTATTTTCTTTATTTATTAATTTCTTGATCGATGTAAAAAAATCTTGATGGCACTTATTATTGGACAGAAGGAGTACATAATAATAAAAACCTTTCATCAACAGCAAGTGGGACAGTTACTAAATATATTCCTCTGAAAGCACCAAGATACAACTTTGCCTAATAATTCTTTTTACTGAAACAAAAGAAACACGTATTGTGAAAATCATGAAAAACAATTAATGTCTACATCTCACTTACCTACTATTACCAAATTTAATGGTGTCCTTTTCCCTAAGTTCGTAATATCGATGAGGTTCAATAGGACTATCCTGCAAAAGCAAAAAGCATCAGATCAGAAGATTCATTACACATCTAACTTCAGCTCATTCAACACTATCAGACAAATAAACATAAACGAAGAAACTAATCAAACTATCAAAAGAATTTTAAGACCACTCACATTAATGAAAGTTTTGTTTGTGCTTCCAAGGTCCATAATGTAAGGCCTGGCATAGATAATATATGCATATTATTAGGGTTTGCACATTGACAAACTTTTAGTTGCATACGAAGAGTCAACAAAAGTAAGAATCAGGCATTACCTTATCTGCTTTAACAACATACCATCTGGTTGCTCCTTTTCAACTTGCCTGACAATGAAAGGAATTTTAAAAATATTTCAGAAAATTCAATCACCATTAAAGCACCAATAACCAAAGGAACCACATGGGGTTGCTTATACCGAAATTGAATAACAGCATGTTGCTTGCTGCAAGATGGATGATCTGTAGGGATATCAGCCACCCTTCTTTCCCTTCCAAAAAGATAACAACTTTGGCGATGTATATAGAGGGGCTCTGGCAATCAAATCAATCATGTACAAGTTTTTTAGCAAATGTAGAAAACAAAAATATATATATAAATATATGAGGAGGGACTCACTCGAAGAGTAAATCTACTCAAACTACTTCATTTAATAACTCATGTTCTACGTTAAATTTTAAAGATTCAACCGTTAAATTAAAAGTTCTTTATGCATAAATTAAGTTTGCAAAATTTAAAAAAAAAAATAAAAAATATTTGATACTCCATTTCATTAATTCAAAACGATGGATAATGATAAAACATTTTATACGTTGATTTGAATTTGATGAAATGGAGTATCAAATAGTTTTCAAATTTTTTAAAATTTTGTAGACCTAATCTATGTATTAAGAACTTTTAATTCAACAGTTAAACTGTTAAAATTTTATATAAAACATGAGTTAGAGTAGAGTAAGTCTACCTAGACTTACTCTTAAAGTAAATGGATCCCTCCTCTCTCTCTATATATATATATATATATTTATAATTGTTCTTTGGAAGTCAAGAAAATTGTAATTCCATTTAGTCCCATCCATGTTGTAGAAGATCTTTAATATAACAATTTAACAGCAAGATTAAAAAATATATTAAAATCAACTGTTGAAAATTTAAGAGAAAAAGAAGGAACTGTAGCCATGAAAGCATAACATAAACAATACAACCAAATGCAGAAGTAGAAAAGGAATTCAGACAGATAGTTAATCTAATTAACTAAAGCTCACTCCAAATCATAAGGTACTAGAAAGTAGAAACTGATCAAATAAATTGCAAAGAAAAATCAATGGCATTCATGATAAGATAAAACCAAATGGTAAATTGACATGGGAGATGCATAAGTCTCCTTTTAATAGCATAGGTCTGTCAATAACATTCACGTGGGAAATGCTCACAAAATATTGACATGTGGCATACAAGTTGGAGAGTTTTATTATAACATATATTACAAGAAGAAGCCATATAAACTAACCATTTAGCACTTCCCCAGCCTTAAAAACATAAAGCCTCCATTTAATATCTGGTTTTCGAGCCTCTGGTGGTTCATTGAACAACAAAGTAACACCTGAAAAAGAAATAATGATAAGCATACACTTAAAATTGAAAGATAACCTCACTTAAAAGTTAGATACATAGTTCTATAAGTGTCACCTCTGACTCGATTTGTTTCAGCTGCAAGCTTTCCAGATAGCTCAAATGAAGGTTTTTGCTGCAAATGACGAGGATTTCAGAAAAGCCAGCAGGAGTAAATCACTCAGAAAATCTACATCCATATTGCAATGCAAATCAAGTTAATAGACAAATTACACATTGGGCACACAACTTGCTCTGAATTCAACAACATAAACATAAACTTTGTCGAGGTATTTTAAACATTAATAATACTTAAAATATTTATTCTCTCCTTTTTTTTCCCCTTTTTCATTCTTAAATCACACATCTTTTGATTTTCCTTTTGTGAATGGCAAAGTCTCATTAACACATTCCTTAGTAATATCTAGAGCCTGGAATGCCTCACTCTAGCCTCGATAAAGGAAAAGGACACCCGAATGAATATTATTGTAACTAGTAAAAAAAACTGTATCAAGTACTTCATACAACATTGTTTATGTTCTATGAAAAGAAAAACCCATATGCCAAACAGGCTCCAACAGTAACCTTGGATAGGTGTGATTCTTTCACAAACATCTAATGAACAACAAAAGTGAGCAATTAAACATTGCCTTCTTGTGCACAGCATCTGACCCAACCAATTAGCAATAGAAGCATCCAAAGATCAAAGCAAGACATAACATTATGACACTTAGTAATAAAGTACAGGGAGTAAACAAGCCATACTTAAACAAATACACAGTTAATTATCTGAAAGTGGTCTCAACTCCTCCCCCCACCCCACCCCAACACAAAAGAACATGGAGACTACATGATATTCAGACACGATCCCAATATAAAGCACATTATTACCTTCTGTTTTTCTTCCAAAGCCTCCTCAGCAGCCTTCATCTTCCTAATAGACTCGTCCTCATCATCCCTGCAGTGCAGAAGCAGCAATCAGATTGTCATCATCAAAAGCTATATCAACTAATTATAATTTAAACAAAACCATAGCATCCAAAGTTCCAAACTTCAATGGAGAGAAAGACAGAATACATGAAGCAACCTGAAGCAAAGTTACAAGCCAACATCTTTTTAGTTTAATCACCAGTATTTTGACAATTTAAACTAATTAAATGAGGGTGCTGAGATCCTTATATTCCATAACAGAGGTTTGACTGTTATTTTTTGTCTTAAAAAGACTGAGTTGTTATCTCTTTTCATGTATAAACATAAATCTGTTTAGAACCTACTACATTCCATTCATAGAAAGTAATGTTTAGCTCTGCCTACTATTCCAAGTTTGAACATTCAACATTTCAACCTGCTGTTCTGCCAAAAATAAAGGTGTTCTGAAACATGTTGAAGCTCAAGGCTTCTAAAAACTATCATTTTCCAAACACAATTTCTTGCACTGATGTTCACAAAGTTAATCCCAATTGAGATCACACCTAGGCTAAGTAAAATTAGATACATTAAGTAACCTATTTATGTAGCATGATTCATCCAATCAAAGATGAGCATAAATGGAGGGAGGGAGTTGAAGGACACTGTGTATAAACCAGGAGCCTCTATTTAGATTCAATTCGAAAACTAAATTTGCAGCAGATTGAACAAAAAATTACTCCAAAATGCAGCACTCCTATTAATAGATTTGACTTAAGTCAAACCAAAATCAATAATCAAACATTATGGTCAACATCAACCTGCACAGCAATATTTGAATATGCAATTCAGAGTTGAGACAGCAACTTACATTTGTTCATCTCCTCTTGAATTCATCATCTGCAAAAATTAAACAATAATCCAGATAAGCATCAATTATAGAGAACAGTGAAACCTTAACATGCAAAGAAATTCAAAACAGGAATAAAGAGACCATAAAGATGGAAGGAAACAAGGAAAAATGAAAAATAAAGGCCAAAAGTATGGAATAATAAGTTAATCAACATTATGGGAACCAAGGGGGAGGCAGGACAGAATCAATATGCTATGAAGTGCAAGACATAGGAATTAGGAAGTGTCTCTTCCATTCCACATTCAGCAACAGAAGACATGTAAAATAACATAAAAATTGTACCCCACTGAAGCCTAATGTTCATATCTACTAAAAGCTACATTGACTTGACTTTATTCCCCTTAGCACACCCTCACAACAACCAAAATGGAAAACAAAAGAAAGCAAAAAAACCCATGAAGACAAATAATGAGGTACAGTAATCATAAAATCCTTTTTCCCTCTACCCTTGGAAAGCATGGACGGAACACTACTATAGAGTTCTAAATTGATGCTTCACCAATCACTTGTCAGTTGCCATGCTTACCATCATCAGTCTTCATTATAATAACAATCATCTGATTTTCTTTTTTTACTTAATACTTTTCCGTATTTGACTTAAAGCCATCCACATAAAAACATCAGATACATTCTAAGGTCCTCAAATCCACCTTATGTAAAACTCCAACTACATCCTAACATCATATATACTTGGTTTGCCAAACACTCCGAGATCCACTCATACATCATAAGAAGCTTCACATTTTCTTAAATTACCTCCAAAATTCTACATTCGATAAATTCAATCAACATCAAGTAATACACTAATACCTACATTTCCACCCAACTCATGAAATGACATTAACACTCCTTTTAAGCAAAAGTCACTACCAACATTCAACACCATTCCAACCATACATACGGAAGGAAAAAAAAATCAAAACAACGCCATCTCCCAAACCTCATCCTCATCCTTTCAATTCCAACAACAGCATTTTAAAGAAATATTTCAGACCAAATTCCACAATTCAGCAAAACAACTAAGCACCAAACAAAAGCAAAAACAACTCAAACTAAAGCTTAAAAAAATTATAGAACATGCAGAATTGATATGAACTAGGGTTGGATATCACCGGACACCTCATCACGAGGTTTTGCATTCGCGGGAGAAGCGTGATGATGCGGCGGCGACCGAGACCTATGCCGGCTCCTCGGCGGAGACTGTGAGCTATGCCGGCCCCTCCCATTGCGCTCCGGCGACCTCTCGTGCCTCGAATGCGACCGTTTGTGACTCCTTCCGCCACCGTCGTCGTCGTGGTTCTCCGTTCTCCTCTCCGTTTTGCTACTACTCCTTCCCCTACCCTCGTCGTTCTCCGTTCTCTTCTTCTCCCTTGGCTCAACTTCATCCCTCTTGGACCTTCTCCCTCTGCCACTGTCATGGTCCCTCTCACTCTCACGAGGCTCGCGCTCGGAATGAACTCTCTTCGACGACTTCGTTCGCACCAACTCGAACTATTGGAATGCACGCATCAAAGGCGCGTAAGTAACGCATTGAAGAAGGGGCGAAAACCCTAGAAATTCAAATGAACGAAAGAACGAAAGAAGAAATGAACCTGTTCCTTGACCTTGAGGCCTTGCTCCGTTGGCTTCTTGTCTTCCTTAACACCGGTCATCTTCGAACTCCCTCCGACGAACGCTTCTGCTTCGCTTTCGTCACCGCCGCCGACAAATGCTGTGTATGCTCTGCGAAATTGCGATTGCGAAATGCTGTAGAGAATTTGGACGCTTGTTCGCGTGTTCTTTTTGTTGGGCCTTCCTTACGAATGGTTCATTTGGGCCTAAAAGCCCAACACTTCTCTCTCCATAAAAAGTTTTTGCTCTTTTATTTTTACAACAAAAAATAAAACAAAATCAAAAGAAAAATTACAAGCGCAAGAAAGTAAGCTGCTCTAGGGCATAATTTACCATGGACAGATTCTAACCTAAACATCTCCCTCACTATCAACTTTTGGATATATATGTTTTTAATTTAGCAGATACGATTTAATATTGTTAAATAAATCGAGTTCTTAAATGGATATCAATATTTATAAAATAAACATTTTACATAATTAGAGATTAATCTATGTGTTTATATTCTGAGAACCTACATATTTGGTAAGTCTCGTAGATTGTCGTGCTGAAGTCATTATTCACATCCTTAAATAAACTCATTTTTTAAGCAATTTCATCTCTATCCTCTCATTCATCTCCATGGTCTAATTCATCTCCATCCTCTCATTCATTTCCATATTTTGACTCATCTCCTTGCTTAATTTCATCTTTAATAACACTTTCATCTCCATTTGATTTATTATCTATATCTTACAATTAACTAACCATCAATATTTGTTTGCAAAATTACTTTAACCACCAACAAAAAAAATAAAATAAAATCAATTAAATCTAAGAGTCTCACACTTGAATGTTTATCATTTTGATGACTCATAACTTTAACCAAGAGTGTTCCCAATTGAGACTACACACAATTTCTTGGCCATTGGAAGAAAAAAGCAAAAGAGATAGCCAACAACAAAATATTAGTTGCTTCAGAATGGGTAGGGAAACCCTATACAAAAAAAATTTCCAATCGGGGCTATACACAATTTATTTGTCAATGGAAGAAAAAAGCAAAAGAGGTAAGCAACAATGGAACCTACTTGCGTAACTAACCACCAGGACTGCAACTTCACACCAATAGCAAACACACAAAAAATAGGTCACCTTCAAGATAGATATAATGTCTCCATCACAACTATGCTTAAAAATATGGGTTTATTTGAGAATATAAATAATGGTTCCGACACGATAACCTATGAGACTTATTGAACACATAGATTCCCGAGACATGGACACGTAGATTAATCTCTAACTACGTGGAATGTTTATTTTATGCATATTAGTATTCATTTACGAACCCGATCCGTTTACCAATATTAAATTATATTCATTAAATTAAAAACATATATATACAACAATTGGTTTACGTCTCGCATAGTGGGGAACATATTTAGGTCCCCAATAGAATCCATCTCGAAGCATGCTCTTGTGATACTTTCAAACATGTTTTCTTATGCCATTGCTCCTGGTGAGGTATTGCACCTTTAATTGCAATTAGTTTGGAAAAACAACAACACAATGAAAGAGTTGAGATTTGAGACATTCTATAGGCCTTTAAGGATAATTAAAAGTTGTCATTGCTTTCAAATTATATATTTGAAGGTTGATATTATATTTTATAAAAGTTTATATCTTTATAAGTTGTTCATTTTGTCACTTCATTTCTTCAATTAACAATTATACATTGATATATTAACTTTTAAAATGTTTTGGCAGTTCACTAGCATCCGAAGTCAACTGCAAGAGGAAAGGAAATCTCACTAGACTTGTATTCTTGCAATGTGTGGCCCTCGCCCAATTGTCCTCATCAAATATTTTGCAATGATTCACCAATGTAGGAAACTAATGAATCTCCTAATAGTTCATAATTAACTTGCTTGATCCTTGGTGTTAACTTGTTGATAAACTTCACACATTTAGATCTCTCCTCTACTTCATGGTTGTAGTGTTAAAAGAACCTCAACAGTTCTTCAAACTTAGCGGCATCCTCAACATCAATCATACCTTCCTAGTTGAGTTCTAATAATTCCATCTTCTTGTGATTGTGGATGTCCTCAAAAAAGTACTTTTTCCGATAAAACCTCTTTGAAGGCTTCCCCAATTTATGACTCTTCTTTCATCAATGATCTCCCAAACACCCCTATCAATCATTTGCTTCCTTAATTTATCATACTAGAAAGAAATAACAGTAAGACATCAACATAAAACAAGCAAGCAACAACTCAACACAAGTTAAGTAAGTCATAGAGTACATGTAGAGAAACATGAAAAAATACATAACATATTGGTCGAAAGGATCAACCCTCTTAGATACCACTAAAGACACTACTCTTTATTTCTCATGACATTGCATATCATAAATAAACGTGATCAAGAAAAACATGTAGAAATTTTCAAAAGAAAAATCTGCAACATAAGGTAAAAGAATAAAAGATAACACGTTGTCAAACTAGACTTCAAATGTTAAATAAAAAATAGAAGATGTTTAAATAAGTTTTTGACATTCCAATAATGTTTAGGAAAAATTGGGGCATTACATGCTAGAATAGACAAACTTTCTCTTCTTATGCTGTGGAAAGAGAAAAAATAGTTACAACACACAGACACAACAAATATGAAAAGTAGTTTTTACTGTTCTGGTTAAACAGTCAAAAGTTCTTTATATTTCCATTCTTTTATAGCGTAATAAAGGATATTCCTTGTCTAGTTATTCCAAAAAAGACAAACACAAGTTTTCTAAAGAAAAATAATGTTTGTTAAAGATAGATAAAATTATGAATGTAGGATGTAAAATATATGAATGTATTGTTTTATTATAAACTTAATTTATTGTTCAAAAAGCCTAGTGTTTGACTATGTTAGGATAAAAATATTGAAACATTTTTGGGAATTTTTTTATTAAAAATAAACAATATTTTCTAGTAGATAAACTTTTCAAAACATTTTTAATTTGTATCCAAACAAATTTTTTAACACTTTTTTTTGGTTAAAAACGAGTATCAAAAGCTTTTTTTAAAACATAGGTTGACATATTATTCTACATATATTGAACGTTTTGATCAAGTTACTCGTTATCAATTAACTTTTCTTCACCCAAAAGATCAATTATACCATACATTTTTAATTTGTTACCATCAAAACTTATTGGATTAAAACTTCTCAAGTTTTGGGGTCCAACAATTCATATGTGCCACTTGCACCTTCCTCTACTGTAGGTTCTGGCAAAAATTTATAAGACTTTAGACAAAACTTACATTCAATATTTAGTTTATATATAATTTATCAAATCTGATTTTAATTTTTTATTAACTACAAAATCATTGTTCAACGTTCCAAAATTAAATATTTTAGCATTTCACTGTCAAAATATATAGAAAGATAAATTTATTTAATCTATCTTTACTATAATAAAATAGATTTTTATTCACATTTAATATAATTTTTAATGTTAATAAAAATTGTTGCAAAATATTTTACCAATATTTTCACATTAGCTACTATATGTAGTGTCGTTAAAACATTTACTGACAATTATTCTGCATATTGATAAAAACTCTTATAATAGTCAAGAAAAGTGTATAAGTTTTTGTGGCATATTTTACTGGCATTTAATATTTTTTGTTATTACCCTAAAAGTTTAAGAAATGATTCATAATATTCTTTAATTATTTTATTTTTAGTCGATGTGAGACTTAAAAGATAAGTACAAATACTCATTAATTACCTTATCTCTAATCGATATGAGACTTGTAAGATGAAGGTTGTCTTCTAATTATATATTCTTTAATTTTCTTATTTTTTTTAACTGTTTTATCTCTTAATTAATTATTTTATCTATAGTTGATGTAAGATTTTGGTTTTTCCCAGTACTTTCCCTCAAGTTTGGTAATGGTGAGTAATCTAATACCAACTTAGAATAAGTTATAGGTCTAATTCAATCGTACAAAACAAACTTGTAAGATGAGAGTTATCAACCACGTATATATACTTTTTAATTATCTTATTTCTAGTCGATGTGAGACTTAAGTTTTTCTTAATAAATAATTATCATTAATAATAAATTTTGGTGTAATATAAATATATTTTTAATGATTATTATATATTAGTCATTAATATTTTTATTAAATAATAAAATAGAGATAATTAATTTATTGTTGTTAAATAATTATCGATAATAATAAATTTTATTTATATTTTTAACATAGTAAATATCAAATAAATTTGAATAATTTTAATTGTTAAAAAATCATGTTAAACAGTAACAATATTCATAAGTATGGCAAATTATTTTATAGAAACAATGCATGCATGCATTTAAAGAAGAATACAATTTTTTTTGTATAATTTTATATTTTTAGCAGGGTATGAAATATGTTTTAGATTTAATTTATATGCAATGCCACTACATAACATTTTTATACACACTAATCGTCAACAAAATAAAATCAGTAAACACTAAACATGTACAATATAATTAAGAAATCTTGATAAAATGAAAAATATTGTTAGAAGCTAGGGTTTTTTTTATATTTTTATTGAGGGAGAAATTTAATCTGAAAAGGGAAAGAAAGAGGGTTATGGGGTGAATGTGTGACTGTGAATCTGCTTCTGCTGCATTGATGCTCTCTTGTCTTGTCCATATACGTTTTTGAAAGAGATATCTCTGAAGCTCATCGAACATGGCCCCCAAACCATGACCTAGCTAGCTACTTCAGAATCAAATTCATGTAGGGCCACAAAATTCACTACTCTGTCACAATCAATTTAAACCCAAATCAAATCAAATCAAATCAAATCACATCTTAAATTAACATTTGGTTTTTATTTTTATTTTAATACAACCTTTCTAGTTTCTTCCATTATGATATGTATTTAGTTTAACAAGTATTTCTTTATAAGTTACCTTTTTTGGGTAAAATATTAACCAATTAGTCGGTGCCTTTTTTATACCATATAGCTAATGGCCAATATCATGCAAATTACAAGAACCCACCTTTCCTTGATAAGTTTTATTATTATCATAGCATTTTAGCATCTGCAATATGATAATTATTTATTTATATAACTAAGATTTATGATAAAATTTCATTACATTCTATACCTGCTTTCTCTAAGTTTCATTTAATAGTCAACTT